TTGCCTGGGTATGAGCTATGTGTGTGTAAACAGAATCTGTAAATAGGCCTAGCTCTCCAGGACATCAGTTATGTGACTGCTGGCAAAGGCTTTTAGGTCTCCACTTGTACAGTTCCTCCCCTGCCCTAATGTGACAGTAGACGTGGGAGCTGGATGGCCATGGAAATGGATAATGAGACAAGTGGAATGTCACAGAAATCTGCCCTCCACCTATCACAAGGCCAGAAGTCACAGCACCAGGAGTCGACAGCAATCTCCCAGCATTGTGAAATTTCTTCCCCCGCTGGAGGAAAAGCCACTCTGGCAAGGGCTCTAAATAACAGATTTTAGTGTCTAGTTGGAACGGGAGAGGTGAGGATAAACGGAGCTGTGGAAAATGGAAGGGAACCATTTACAAACACAGGCCAATCTCCTGGAGCCTCAGTGTCCACTCTCGATGCTCAGCCCCAGCACAGCTATTGTCACAATGACTGAGGAAGGGTAGCCCAAAAGCAGGGCTAGGTCACCGGATTTACTGCAGGGGGGGTTATAGTTTTAGCCAGTTCTAGAGCAATGCTCCCCCCCCCCCAAACTTCAGCTGAACACGGCTAGTCATCCTTACATGAGGAGTTGAAGCTAAAAGATGCACATTCCAGAATAATAATGCTACGCAAATGCTTTCTTTTTCCTGTCCCCTAAGCTGTGTTCTTTCCCTGGGTTTTTCAGGCATTGTTTTAGGATACTTTTCTTTTAGGTTTCAGTCACCTGCTAAATCCTCTGGAGTTTAACTTAAACTGGGCTTACAACATCTCATGAATTTTATAGAGTTGTTATGAAAACCAATGATGAGGGCATGTGGCAGTTTTCAGGTCACATGATGGAGTGTTTGATTCAGTACAATGTCTATTAATTCTCTATTGTTACTCCGTTGCTATGCTAGACATAGTAGAACATGCACACGAAGTTCCTGCTTCCAGGAAGTCTACTTGTTTATTATTAATTTGTTTAATTATCAAATATATTTCGAGCACTTATGTTCCGAGCACCTTGTCACACGTTGGTGATGTTACAATAAATAAGGCAGACATGACTGCTGCCTCCTAGGACTTTATCCTCTAGTGACGGTGACAGAAGAATAAACAATTAAAATACAGCCTATGTCTGCCTACATCTGTAGCAGAGATAGTATGGGCTTTAGTATGCAAGTAGCCTAGCCTTATGCCATAGGAGTACGTAGGAAAGGCATCTTGGTGGGTCAGAGAAGCATTCAGATAGTTGATCTGCTGATGTTTTCTGAATATCAATTAGGAGCCAGGCACTACGATATCCAAGTTAACATTCCAAAGGAAGAATTATCTAGATAAAAGAGGTGGGGATAGGAGAGTAGAATGTTGCATGCAGAAGAAACAGCTTATGAGATTACCTGGAGGCAAAGTCTGAAGAACTAAGTACAGAGTTAAGAGTGGTACACATGAAGCTGGAGAAGGAACAAGACTCAAATTGCAAAGGGACTCGCAAGCCATGTTACAGAGCTTGGACTTGCTCTGGAGAATGCTGGGAAATCTTACAATGGTTGTAAGCCAGGTGTGACTCACATAAATTTGTGTAAAAGATTGCTTTGACTATTGTGTTGAGATAGGTTAGAGAGGAACACAGCTGGAACACTAAATTCTGTTGAGAAGCGATTGTAATAAACCAGATCAAAGACGATGATGATCTCAACTAGGGAAGTGCTAATTGCAATAACAGTATGGATCTGAGAGATAATCAAGGAAGAGGAATCTGAGGACTTGGTGAGAGACTGAGGAATGAGAGATCAGATGTAATTGGGAAGAGAGAAAGAAGAAAGAGTCATTCTTGGCTAAGTGGGTGGAAGGTGGTACAATTTACTGAGACAGAAAAAACAGAGGTAGGAGTAGGGGAGGAGGAAAGCCAAAGAGTTCAGTTTTGGACATGTTGAGTTTGATGAGTCCAGGAGGTATTTTGATGAATAAATCTGAAGCCCACGAGAGAGATCCCTGACGGAGACACAGATCCTAGACTTGCCAACGTGGTGACCAGATATTCTTCATTTAGTGTAATGGAGGGAGGGGGTTCTATGGATCCCTTGGGTAATAGACAACCTCTACATCTCCTAAAATCTTTTCAAATTTTTGAACTTATTTTAGATATATTTATTGGGGGAGGGGAGATAATACAAACTTGCTTTGAAAGATAAATAACTCAAAGGAAGTTAAGGACCACAGACAGAATGAAGGGACAGCTTAGATAAGAGTACCCAGGTAAAGTGTCCTGACTGTTCTGGGCCAAAAACCAGACAACAGCGCAGGTGAAGAACAGGCAGAAGAGGGTCCTGAAAATGAGCTCCGTTATCAGTAGGGAGAGGGTCAGAGGAAAGGGAGTGGTCTGAGGTCAATGCCCCTGACAGGTCAAATAAAGGAAGGAAAAGTATCCATTGGCTTTTCAACAAGGAGGTCATGGGTGATCTTGGCAGGAGAGGCTATGGTCAGTTGGAAAGAGTGAGTGAGTAAGAGGTGAGAAAACAGAGATGGCAATTGTAGGAAACTCAGGAAGGGAAAAAAGAGTGCTAAGGAGGTAGCTGGAGAGGAAGACCAGGTACAAGATAGAAGATGGGAGAGACTTATGCAATGAATGCAAAAATTTAAAAGCACGAAGAGCCTTAAATAGCAATTAGCCAAACCAAACACACAGAAGCATTTAAGGAAGTCGTAAAAGTAGAGCTCAGGGTGTCTCTGGTGGTCAAGATAGATTTCAGGGAAGGGCTATGAATTGAGTTGAGCCTTGAATGATTAATAAGCCTTTGGCCAGGTGAGAATGAGCCATTAATTGGAAGAAATCGGAGAAAAATAAGACTAAACATTCATCTATTCTCCTTTTAGCTCCTTTTGTTATTCAAAGAATATTTTCTCAGCTAATATAATATCTTTAGAAAGGAAATTGCCTGTAACTCAGAGAGCAGCTAAAAGTATGAAAGTATTAACAGTCACAAGATATATAACCCAATTTACAATTACTACTTGCATTTTTAGTCTTCACACATGAAACCAGCATATTCTTTGGGGTCACATTGTTCATTTCCTCATTTGGAATTGTTAACACCAGATATGGTGCTAAATCAATATAAGCTGGTGCTTCTATCACTTAGGTTTCAAACATCTTCCTATATATAAACACACCCATAAATAAAGGTGCTAATGTTGGAAGGAGAGAGATCTTTTAATAAGCAACCTAGCACAAGTAATTCCCTGCATATAGGAGGCTGTTATAGAACCTAGCACATAATTAAACACTGTCTATTTAACTGAATTATTTTTCTCTTGCCTTTTTAAGAGAATATACAAATGTTAAATTTCAAAGGTGACATTTATGTGTCTAAGTTGAATAGGTATTACTTAAATAGTAGCTTTCTAGCTTATTATAATTTATAAGTATATAGAGGGTAGAGTGTAGCTAGAAGTATTTTAAATTGTAGTAGATACCTAAGGTAACTGAAGCTTGGTTGGTTTCCCCAAAGATGGTCATTGCTTTAGGGGCTACACCTTTTAGTTGGAAGAAATCCCAGTATCTCTCAGTAATAGTCTTAGCCATTCCTTTCCTTCCTTGTCATAAGTATGGGCCAGTGTTCCAAACAGATCATCAATGCACAAAAGAGAAACCTGGCCATGCCTATACAGACATCAGAGAAGCCATCACTAGAGATGTTAAAGAATCTCATTTTCCTACCTAAGAGAGAATATTCTGTTATTTTTCCCAGTTCATGACATCTGCTTCAAAAGAAAAAGAAATTAAAACACCACAATATTTCTTTGTCTTTGTGAAACTTGAGTTTCTGTATTTTTGTCCTAGTTCCTAGAAGAGACTGGTTTCTTCTAAAACACACACACACACACACACACACACACACATATTTGCAGGTTCTGACTCACGTCCTATCTTGGTACTTTATCCCCCAACCTGGGTGCCAAGTTCTCTCCTTTGTCTGGACATATCTCTTCTCACATATGTTATTCTGACCTCAGGTCATGGTCGTTCCATCAACTTAGGTTTTACTTTTCCAGAGGATGTGACCCATGCTTGGCATGATACAATTTATAACCTGCTGCCTCAACAAATATCAAGTTGGCCTTTGCAATTTTGTAGTTAAAAACTTTGGATATGGGGATGTATTTTTGTGGAAATTGCATATTCCATCGTTGCCTCTCATATATCATGGCTTTATTACAGGCAGCAAAGGCAAGGCCTTTGCTAATGACTTCAAACCCCTGCCACACAAAGGGTTGCTTTTTATTATTTTCTAGGATTCTAAGCATCTTTTATTAGAGTAGTCTGGCCTGTTTCTGAGAGCCTTTGTGATTACCTGATTTGCGCTGTGTCTGAGGGTTTACTGCCTCACCTCTCCCTCCAGTCAGTTAGAGGCCTTAGTGGAAAACCTCTTCCCATCTGAGGAAATGTCATTTTAGAGCCCTGAATGAGAACACTTGATTATAACCTCTTGGTTTATAAGAATAAGTCTGAATAGCAAACTCTTTTAATGGTTATCATTCTTTTAAACAAATAAGAATTGTCCTAATGATTTAAAGAAAAAAGAAGATAGCACTGTTCTTTAAACCCAGATGAAATTGTCATCAATTCAATAATATCACATTAAAATCTCTCAGTAGTGGCAATATTTTGAATACCTACTGGGAAACTCTTGATTATTATGATTATGGAGCACAGTTGTTTGGTGGGAGCTTCAGGCCTCCACTGAACTGACTGGTAGTATTTCTCAAAGCACAGTATGAGGATAGACTGCATCATAACAAGCCCACATCAGAAAGCACTTGTTGAAAACATTCTGAGGGCTGGGCCTGCAAACCTACATTTTACCAAATGCATCTATGTACCACTAAGCACCACACGGGTTGAAAGCCACAACCCTGGGAGACAGACCAGGAAAGCTCAGTGGTCGCTAAGACCTGCTTGATTGACAATGAATTTTTTGTCTCTCCTCTGCCCAGGTGCAAGTGTAATCTCCATGCCACTGTGTGTGTGTATGACAACAGCAAATTGACATGTGAATGTGAGCACAACACTACAGGTCCAGACTGTGGGAAATGCAAGAAGAATTATCAGGGCCGACCTTGGAGTCCAGGCTCGTATCTCCCCATCCCCAAAGGCACTGCAAATACCTGTGAGTAACTTTGCTGGATAACACCATACTCTGTGTGCACAACGAGCTGATACTTCCTCTCAATTTCACTTGCAATGTGATTTTACTCCTCTTACCAGTTGTTTCATGCCTTTTCAAAATGCAACTAATGTTTCAGTCCCTATTTTACCACTCGTGAGCATGTTTTAGCACTCTGATCACCTGTTAAATTCAGTCTCCTAACATTCACATTAAGTGTGCTGGGAAATGATTCTTGAAATCACAGAAGCAATTTTTCTAAGTAGATGAGACAAGGGATGATTTTTTTCCTCCCCCAAGTTAATTTGCTATTAAAATAAGGCCTTGAAAACTCTCAACTCTAACTTAATTTTAGCCATAAAGAACTTTCAGAAATTCTTTGAATGTTTACAATGCCATTTCCTGTACTGGGTAACCCAAGAGATGCTTTATACAGATGTTTCCCTCTCCAGTTTTAGCTAGGTCTTAACTTTGCCCAGCAAAATAATTGGCTTATTCCAAATTCCAGCAGTTGCACCATGCTTGCCACAAATCCTGTGAGTAGAGAGCAGGACTGTAGGCCTGTGGGTACCACATTAAGAAAAAAGATTTTTGTGAGCATGTGAAATAGCACAGGCATTATCTGTGTTTATAGGAACATGTGAGATCCCCCATTACCACTCATGCATGTGCCCCACTGAAATCGCTGATTATCCCTAGGAAAGCAGGTCTTTTCTCCTTCATGCTCAAGGAGAAAAGTGAATAATTTGCCCAATTCCATGGACGGACCAATTAGCCACCTGCAAAAGCCCAAGGTTTGCCATCTTTAAAATGCAAAAGAAGGTTTAGAATATACCCATTCAGTGAAAACTAAGTGAGAACTAAGAGAAGCAGCAAGACAGTGAGCACAGGAGAATGAGAACTTAAAAAGCCACTGGCTCCATGCAAGGCTAAGAATGTTATCAGCCACTTCAAAGGAACAGCTGTGAGAAACCAAACCTAAAAACTAATATCACAGGAACCAGGATCTTATCAAGTTAAATGTAAGAGTAATGGACCAAGTAACAAGCCACAAAGTGTGGGGGCATGAAATTATGATAAAATTTCTATGAAGCAGGAAAAAAAAAATCCTTCAAAAGGTTAAAAAAAATCCTTCTTTGTAAGAGTGTTCAGTTTCTTTCTGTGTTAAAGAAAAAAATTGACTTCTTGCTCCTAAAATTCATACATTAAAACTCTGTTGAGCAGAAATGTTGATTTTTCAAGGCATTTTTATTAATGGAGACTCTGACCTTTCCTCAATTGTCGAGGGCCAGAGACTCATGAATTCAGAAGGGATCTTGGGAGGTTATTTGTTGCAATACCCTGTGGCTGGCTACCTAAGAACCCCCATGATCACAGTTGTCAAATTTAGTTTAAAGCTCTCCCAGAGTGAAAATGGCCCAGATTTCCTTTTCAGCGTCTGCTGCTTCTTTAGTGGGACAGGCTTGAAGAGAACGAAGTTCACAAACTCTTGCTGGCGTTCTGGCTCATCCTCAGGCAGGCCAACTGGCCCACGCCCCCGTGGAGGTAGCTGGGGTGGGCTGCTGTGGAAGTCATCAGCTTCTGTTCTAACATGACCCTGGTCTTCACCCTGTAACAGTGCTTCCAGTCTTTGTTCATTTCAAGACATTTTCATGGGGAAGACTTTCTTGTTTCAGCCAAGATTTCTCACTGAAATGGATTTCTTGTTATACTCTCCATGGAAATGACTTACATATCCCTAGGGGTTTGCATGTTGAGGATCACCCAAGTCACTACCTGGTCGGTCACAGGAATGAAATCTCTTTCAATTTTCCTTGCAGGTTCAATTCTCCATCCATTCCTTAGTTGTTGCTGGCTTTTCTCTAGGCTTTTTTGGACCTTTTCTCATCTCTGTTAAAATAAGAAGGTGACAGATGGACCCAATGGCCAACGGGTTTCAATTCAGCGTTTCAATGTGGCAGATAATATGAGAAAGATTTTAGAAATTAACTGCGGTGGTCCATTCTTGCAATGGAAAGAACCCCTTCAACTAAATCTCTGACACATCAGACTGTGCTTTAAAACATCTAAGGAGGGAAGTAAGCAATGCAGTAGTTTGGTGCACAGGTTGCAGGGTCAAATCCCAGTTCCTCCATTCACTGGCTGTGTGACCTTGAGGAAGACAGCTAACCTTTCCAACACTGCTTCCTTCCCATCTGTAATGTGCGAATAATAACAGTCCTTACCTCACAGGGATTTTGAGAGGATTGACTGTGCTAATTCGTGTAATGTGTTTGGCATAACACCTGTCACAATATAAGTGTTCAAAAATAATTTTATTTTTTAGGATTTTTTTATGACAGTCTTATCCAATTTTGAACTGTTTTATTTAAGATAAAAGTCACTTATTAGCATCAATATTGAGTGTCCCCTAATTTCTAACCATATTTTTCTTTTTAAGTAGTAAAAGAACTATATTGACCATAGTTTCATTTTTTCTCCAGATTAACCCTCGCAAACTTTATTTTTTTTATGACAATATTTTCATGTCTCTTACCTAGTTACCTCTCCTGGAAGTCCTCTAATTCATTAGTGTGGTACTTCAAGCCAAGCACAGGACTTTAAGCTCTTTTATAATTTTTATTTCATATTGACTTTTTCTTACATACAGGAGAGCATGCACGTACACACACACACTCACAGGACTCTAATTAGTACATTAACAGTCAGTTATCTAAGTCAGGGATATTTAGGATGTATCATATCCTAATACAAAAATACAAAACCTAAGAAGTAAAACAGGAGGAGCTGCAACCTCTGGCCCTTCAACATTAACCCTTCTGTGGCCTAGAAATGCCACTCATATTATTAGATAATCTCTAGATTTAGTAGAATCTCAAGCTGCCAGGATACTTTTTGAATAAGATGGTCAGTTTCTGTCCATCCCCACAACTTTTAGCAAGAGAACAAGGAGGCCTTCATCATGGCAGGGAATTATGAGATCCCCCTCTGAAGACAATCCATCGTGCAGGGATAACCTAGATGGACCTTGCTGGAGGTCATGCGTTCCAGAGCAACTCAAGGCCACTTTTGCATGAAGCATGTACAGCCAAGAAAGAAGAGTCCAGAAGGCCAACACGCTACAATATAATCACCCCAGTCTGTGAGACACACCACCTTTCCCTGTGCTTTCACTACAGTACACTTGGTAGAGGCAGAAGAGATAACTTTTGTGATAATGTTTCCATTCACGTGCTTTTATTCAAGACCTGGTGTGTTTTCTTGGTCTTTTAAAGCCAATGCACGCGTATCAATATCTTTTTCTTATTCTTTTTACAAAGCTTATGTTTTATAGAAAAGATATCTTACTTCTCCCTGTTAATTAAATGCCCTTTGAATTTCCTTTCTGCCTTCCAAGTAATAGCACCTCTGTCCATCTTTATGCCTAATGGTTCTCTTGATTCCACATTGTCCAACTCATTAATAAAAGTATTAAGTAACTCTCTTTAAACTGATTATAAATAATATATTATGGAATAACACATAATATTTTTCTACATATAGATACTAAAAACGTAGTAACCACTCCATAGGAACCATAGCTCCAGCAAAGATAATATAGTATCTACATGTTTGCTTCTCAAACTCTGTTCTACTACCCTTGAAAGAAGTCCATGTCCAAATAAGTTTAGAAAATGCTGTACACTATACGGATTCTTAGATATACACATTGAAAACCTTTGAGCAATCCTACAGTAAAGTAACCTATTTTACCCAATGTTTCCCAAACTTATTTGTTTCATGGAACACTTCGTAACTTAATAACTAAACACTTAATAATAATAATAACCACTTAATAACTTTTTACAAAACTTGTCCTCTTTTTAGGACATGCTGATCAAACAATTTCCTGCAGCCTAGAGGTAGAAAAATCATGGAGACTGACAGAAAACCCAGCTAGTTCAGCTGTATTCAATCTTTTACTTTTCTCTAACCTACATGGTCTAATATTCTTCAAAGAAAGAAAATTAAATTGGTCTGACCTTGACATTATTTGTTTGTTCAGAAATCCAACTTGAATTGTTACACGATATCCAGGGCTCCTGTGAATGATGGAAAGTAATTTGATGATTGTTCTATTATTTTCTCTGGTATTAAATTTGCATTGACCAATTTATGTTTTCCCAGGTGCACACGTGTGTGTGTTATCTAGACAATTTCCTAAGTGCTTTACATATATTAGTTCATTCTAAACTCACAACAGTCTTATAAGGTAGATCCTACTATTTTTATTTTATATACTTGGGATCTTATGATTACAGAAGAAAAGCATCTTGTTTAAGATTTACACAGCTAGGAAGAATGAGACAGAGGATTTGAATCCAGGTGTATCTTGACTCAAGGAATATAGTGCGTTGCACAATATTGCTTCTCAGGTTTAATTTGAGTTACTTTTTCTGTTCTCCATTGGGATTTAGGCTCCATTTTGATACCTGTTTGAACAAGTCAGTCTTCTCTAAACTTGCCCTCTCCTACATCTCTGCTTGTTATTTTTCTCTGCCTTCAAAAATTCCTCTTCTTTATTTACTAATAGATCTTCATGTTCTCCACCCTTGCCTGTTCCCCAAGTTTTTTCCTTGACATTCCAATATATTCTTGTGGTTGAGTGTCTCAGTATTATTGACTTATTACTAATCAACCAATTCTGGCTTCAATCTTTCTAATGAGTCTAGACAATTTTTTTCAGCTGTCTGCAAAGATCTCAAGGTTAATATACCAACATACCAGATACTAAATTCATTTCTTTTCCCCAAAGCACCTTTGTCTTCACTCTCTATTGAAATTCTGCTCATTTTTCAAGACTGCTCCTCAATGCCAACTCCTCAATGAAGCCTACCTAGACTCTCTTATGCAAAATCAATTACTCTTCTCTCTGTCTAGAATTTTGATAATGTATGTAGACTTACAACTAGTTGACTATCTTTGACAAAGTTATGATAATAATGATAGCTACCATTTACCAT